GTATTTATAAAACACCAATAAACAGGAATCGTTCAATGACACTTTTCATCGAAGATCTGTTTCAAGAGATGATAAATAGGCTTTCTTGAATAATCTTTATAACAGCAAAAAAATGTTTTGTCAGTGATAATGTCACAGCGATAACAAAGGCACCGTGTGAAATTTGTTACATTATTGGTAATCATATTATAAACCGTTTACTGATGCAGAAATTGTGAAAGAATGATTCTTAAATGCTTCCAATTTAGAAAAATTTAGTGACAAAAATTAGAAATATAAAAAATAATAATTTTAAAAAAGCAAAATGGGAATTTTAATATTTTGATCTATTTCCACATCTTAAATTTTCTATATTATCTTGGTCTTAAAGCATTTCTCCCCCTCCATTAATTCTCAGGTTGCGGTTCACGTCAAATAGCCATCACATGTATGTAGCCCGAGCTAACGTATATAGGCGGCCCGGCAGAAAAAAGGTTGAGTACCCCTGCTCTAGAGTGTAACGCGAACTTTTAACACAAAAAATAACACTAAAATTTACGGGTGCACATTATATGCCGGGTATTAAAATAATGGCTTTAAAGATAAAGAAAAGAAAAGCGTACAAAAATTAGATTTCTTTGTATGCATTTGGCTTCCTTCTAGAAAAGTTTTTTTACCTTCTAACATCCACCTATTTCACTATCGTTTTAAATTTGTTTTGAATAGTGTATTAAAACACATCTAAAGACTTAACTAATGTCATTGCATCGTTTTCACGTCACACGACGAAAAATCTACTTGTTTTTGTGGATAGTATAACACCGTTCTTATGCAGACGTGCACCCCTAAATATTGCGGGATCCTGTTATCTGACATCGCTCCAGCAACCTATGATCGTGAGAAAAACCTCACTCCGTCCACGAGCTGGAGTGTAGTTCGAGGATGAGAGTGCGACCGCCCTACCCCGACAGTGGAGAAGACAGTGTTGAAAACAGCGAAAGAGAATGGTTATGTTGCTTCCTCCCTCACAAATAACTTATTCTGTACTCATTAAATTATCAAGATATATTATATAAATATATTTTATATAAATGTATATACTGCAATTAATATCTGTGATGTAAATAAATTAATTTCCTAACTCTCACGCTACCACTAATTTTCTCAAACGTCACAGAGTTCATCCACCTGGAATAACTATTCCGTCAGGAATTACTTCATATTATCCGTTAGATGAGATCTGAAAATGATTCAATGCATTCTGTAAAATACTTGGACGCTTTTACCAAACTTTTCTTATCCACAATTTTACACCGTTTTCGTCTATCCATCCTTCTTGTGCTCATGAACGAAAACCTTCAAGGAAATCAAATTTCGGTATCGGTTTTCTTTTAAAAATAACCATGGTCTTAATATTGTACTGTCCGATAAGCAAAAGAGCACTATGGTAAAGTGAGATTTCGTGACCTGTTGTTTTTGTCAAATAAGAACATTGTACATGTACATTTCAGATTTCATTGTAAAAGTAGGGTGCGCGTTATACGGCGAATACACCTAAATTAAAAATTGCAGTTCGCAAGAATAAGTACGCGTTATACACCGGTGCTTATAATGTGCTGAAAAAAATATATACGGTGTAACGAACTCTAGACCCATTCTAAAACTCAAGGTGGCTACGCGGACGGATCAGAGGTACTGCGCCTGCCCAAGTGCCATGTCAAAGAGTTCGGTGTTTACCTCTCGACGAGAGAGGTCGTCGTTTTTTTGCTAGCTCCACCCGTGAGCTTAGTGTGGAGATTTTTTTCCCCGGGGATTATCTCGCGAGTGAGTGAGAGAATATTAACGTCACACTGATTAGCAACACGAGGGCTTTTGGCGACGGTCCGCGTAATTTTGAACCATGGTCAAGTGACACGGACGACACCTGAGCTGGCACCCCCTCTCCTAAATACCACACCACTCCAACGGGAGGACGTTTGAGCTCTCGACATATTTAACGTGCATCGCTTTCCTACACGGTGGGTCTTTGGTGGTACTAGGATCGAACTCATGACACGCTAGCCATGATCCGATGCCTAGACCACTCGGCCACCGCGGCCGCGAGGATTATCTCGCAACGAGACAATACGGTACGCTCCACCAGCGAGCTTTGTGAAGAGATAGTTGAGTGTTGATCTCTCGAGGAGAGATCTGTGAGTTCCACCAAGGAGCTGTGCTTGAAAGATTGTGTATCTGCCGGAGGCAGATATGTTGGAGGCCACCCAGGTCCATTTCTTATTTTTTCTCTCTAAAAGTGTCGACAAGCTCAGAAGATTCAGTATTTAAAACCGTGTAAAAAAGTGTAAATTTTTGGTGTATGTGAGTGTCCTATGTCTATGTTTGTAAATAAACAATTAAACATCATTGAAGTTCATTAATTGAAAACGCTAGGACATTACAACGGTAATTACATTTTATAATAAAAGTAGCTGGTACACCCGTTCTTCGCATGGGTGAATTGAAAAATTAAACAATACAGATTGAAGGATTAAGAAGTTTTTAATGAGTTAATTTCACGTGAATTGCAAATTAAACAACAACAAAAAAGCTTTTTGCATATCTCAGCAGAACAAAAAAAAAACATTGTTAAATTTTAAGTCTGAAGATCTAATAGCTGATAAATAGGATTTTTTTTTATTTATAACGCCCCTCAACACTCTTGTGGGTCGCTTTTTGAAAACACCTTCCTAAACTGATCTCTGCTCAGCAAAAGTAACACATAGTTACAAATTTTGTGTAATGAACGCTTGAAATACTGTAAATAATTTATATCTGGATGCGTAATACGTTAATATTACTTTCTGTTGTATTTATTTTACGTTAAAATTGTAATATATTCGCAAACAACGTCGTTACATTATCATGGCGATTCAATGGAAACATAGCGAAATGTTGGTGAGAGAGTCAAGTCGGCATCATATTTGGCGACAACATTAGCAACTTGGCGATAGATTGAATGGTGCAGAGGTTGATATGCTGTAGCGCCACCTGGTGGGGAGCTGCAACAAAGAGGATAGCACAAAAACTTTCTCCACAAAAAAAATACATATCCATGCTTAATTTTCATAATGATCGGTTGAATGGTGTTGGAGTGAAGCGATTTCATATATACAAGCATCCATTTATATATATATATATATATATATATATAGATTACGTAAGACAATATTCGATTAAGAAAGCTGGTGGGGGATCTTAACTCCTACCTGATTTCATTACTTCTCTTCTTTTTTTTATTTCTCTAGTAATTTACAAATAGCAAAAAAAAACATCCAACATTTGATTCAAAATATTAGATGCGCTTAGGGGTTTAAGTTCTTTATCAATAATTAATAAGAGAAAATAAGATTTTTGTCACAAAAATTACATTGAATTCAGTAAAATAAACGTAATTGTACTTTTGTCGAATAAAGTGGCACATAAAACTGATTTTCACACCCAAAAAATAATTTTCGTACTTCGACAAAAACACAGTATTTTTTTCCCTTTTTTTCATTTAATAGGTGATGTTCAATGCAACACAATTGAGTTATTACGAACACTTGCAACATTTTATCGACCTACTTTTGAAAATTCGATTATAAAGTTAAGTACACATCTTTTATATTATGAAGCCCGTTAAGGTTTAGGGCTTTTGCGTGTGGCACAGAAACTTCTAACCTTCCCACGCTCCACTTATGAAATTTCAGGGTTCTGAAAATTAAATGGAAAAAAAATTTCTAAAGATGAATTGTTTCTTCAACTGAAAATTAACCCGTATAAAAGACGTCATGGTATAATCATCCATCTGATGTTAATTACTGAAATTCGAAAATGAGTTCTATGTGAAAAATATGCTCAAAAACTTTAATTAAATCAGCGAAAAGTGTATTAGTTCAGAAGATTTTCAGTCAGTGACAGTCTTGTATGGAATAACTATAAAGCGAAGTACGAATTCATGAAAATTACGGATTTTAAAACGTGAAATACAAAAAAAAGCAGAGATATTTTTTATAACTACTGTGTCTTATGAGATGTTCAGTAATAAATGAATAGGATTCTTTTTATTGAATAAGATTTTTATAAATACCCTACAACAAAAGGAAAATTATAACAATGCCTTCTATTATGTAGTTTCATCTTGCTTGAATTCATTATTAATTTACTTGAGCAACTAAATGTCACCACAGATGTGTACGTGAAAACATATAAATACAGAGGATTTTCTGATGGTTATTAGCAGTTGTATAGTGATCCCTTGTAACATGATAAAAAAAAAATTAAAATCAATAAATGATTGCACAAACGATTGATTATATGATTGAAATGATTGAGAAACAAGTAATTATAAAAAAAAAATTCTTTTAAGTCAATTTCTACATAGGTCAACAAAGAGAAATTTTTTTATTTTAGTTACTTTTTATTAAATAGTTACAATTAATATGAATATGTATAGTCGCCCATCCAGTATAGTGGTTATTGACGCTGAATGCTGTGCCATAGGGCCTGGGTTCGAATCCCGGAGAAGGCATGGATGCTTGAAAATGTACAGTGCCTTCGCGGCATGGGGTTACTCTACATAGCCGTCGAGCCGCAAGTCCTCTCGCGTGGTTCGTGGAAGGGGAAGAGAGGTAGGAAACCCTTGACCACTCCCAGGGTGTTCTCCCTCAAAATTGGGGTGGAACCGAGCCAAATCGTACTGTCGCCTGCATGGTGCTCAAAGCTACGGCTAACGACAGGTATACAATATAGCCCGATGTCATGATGAATTTCGTGGGCCTCGATCTGACTACGTCAGACAGGTGGCATTAGCAACAACAACATAAATATGTATATACGTATGACAGAATCACAATATTAAAGGACAAAATAGAAAGGGTTTTTCTTGCAATTTTCCATTTTCCTTTCTATATAGGGTGTTAGACTATTTTGTTTGTTTGTTACTATTTATTCATTAATTAAATAGAAAAAAAAAGGTAATCTCATTCTCTCAGAAACTAGGCCATCTCAAGTGGGATTCGAACCTTTGGATTAGAAGTCCAATGTGCTATCCATTGCGCTGCAGGGACACAAGGAACGATTTTCTGTTCTATATATGCAGCTGGACTGTTATTTTTGTTAATTTGTCATTTTTTAATTTAACTAATGAATTAATATTTGAAAAAACTGTATTCATATCAAGTGTCATTCACTACAAGTTTAAAAAAAAGTGTTTGAACTTGAATGGATGAATAGAAAGTATTTATTAACGATTGAAAATTTGAATAAGATATAAAAATATATATAAGTAGGGAGAGATGAAGTACAGTAGAGGAATTGAAAAAAAGGTTTATATAGGTAAAAGTGATAATTTTAAATGTCAGACTTAAAACTATTCAATTATAATAAAAAAAAATTGAGACATTTAAAATTTTTCTGTAATAAGTGAATGTTCGCTGTCCACATAATTTTACAAAATACAGACATTAATAAAAAAGCAGTGAAAATTCTCTATCAACAGCTTTTTTCAAAAGATTTTTCTCTCTAATTAGAAAATAGGATGTTTTCTTAGAATCAATTTATGGTGTAAAATTGGATGGATTATTGTATTAAAAATTAAATACTTTTCGAAAACAAATGTGTAAAAAAATTTTTCATAATGACGTAGTGTGTCATTAAAATTGAACAAATATTAATTTCGTCAACTTTTTTTAAATTAGATATTTTGAGCTGAATTTCAAAATACTGTGATGTTAATTAAAACTAATGTAACCCATAATGGCTGTTATGCTAATGATGAGAATAAACATCCAAAATGATTGTTTAAATATGTAGAAGTACAGTTACCACTCTATTTTGAATTTGATCATTTGTTTCATAATTCGTTATGATGCAATACTTGAAGTGCATTCTTGCCGATATTTTTGAGTAGGGGAACATTATGATTATTCCATAATTCAAAAATATTCCTTAATGCGATAAATCTAAAAGAGCAAATGTGTTCATCTTTTTGTCATTAATGTAGCGCACTCAGTTCATTTATTTTGTTACGAATATCCAGTGATCTTAATAAAAATAGAAATTTTAAATCACTTTGAAGTGATAAGAATATTTCTGTAATTGTGCATGCCTTTAATTTCTTAATAAGAAAATATTCTGTGATGTTTGAGAACGTTAAAGCCTGTGATGTCGTAAGACTTGTTGAAGCTCTAAGACCCTATGCGAAAGTACGGCTAACTGCAACCCTTTTGAGTAGACAATAAATAGGATACGTTATACGTTATGAAGCACTCTCATACAAATGTAAACCCGTAACAAATAAATGAGCGTAACTCATAATTTCCCAAACCTCGGCTCAAACCGATTCCACCGACTGCAGGCATTCGACTAAATGAGTAATGATGGCATATCGTGGTAAGCCTAAATTGGACCCATATGATGGACATGAGATAAAAATGTAACATTGCCACAATTGCCAGTTAACATATAATTAGAAATTCCCAGTTTTTCTGATAATATTTCCACCAGTAACATTTGATGATTAAAATTATTTGAATCATGATCTTAATGAGGTCGAGTCAAGAATGAGGCGAGGGCATGGCCTTTCACCTCGATCCCGTTGGTTTAAGCCCTGACTTCCCTGGTTAAAGACCAGTTGAATTAAAAATGCAGCTGTTTCCATATTATTTTATAGGATAATCTGCGATGGAACTGTGCTTCAAATCCTTGAACAAGAAATTAATTGGGGATCAACCAGCCCATCCCGGCATTCAGAACTCTGTAGCTATACCCCAAAGTCTGATTTCGAGGGTTTCGTGCTCAGGACACGAATCATACCAACTTTACGATAGGAGGAGTCGACATAATACAAAACACTAGAAAATAATCACAAATGTAAATAATCACTTTAATTATTTATTTAATATCAACCTACTAATACCTCAAGATATGCGAGGAAGATCAACAATTAAATTAAATAATGAAAATACACCTATCTGTAAACCTGAAGAGGTTAAGAAGCACTCCGAATCTTAATATCCCACCAAATGGTGGAAGTTCTAAATTTTTGGATAAACAACTCGACGCGGACGCTAAATGAGATTTGTAACGAAAACTTCCCAATATGAAGATTGCTCTTAAAAGTAAGCATCTGAGTCTGGGCAAGAAACTACTAGCTAGTTAATTGAATCTATGGATCTCAAACTGGTAGTGAAAATCACTGTTAACTACGTTTTTCTTTCTATCGCACACGCACACACTCACGTTTTCTGTTTCCACTGAAAAGAAGTTGCTGTTAAACTTTCAGAAAACTTCAAAGAATAATACCCACTGGCGTAGACGAACCCTCTCTGAGAGAGCCCTGTATTAAAATTCCTTCGGAGCCTTTTTTAGATATGGGAGCCCTGCTTGGGGGCTCCGTATCATTGATACAGCCGATACGCCGGTAGCTACGCCCCTGATAACACCCCAAGTTAATTTTAAGAGTGAAACCTCGCGAGATAGCCTTCTATAACTCTAACACGAAATTCTGTGATGATATGTATTATCCTTAATTGAGCATAAGTGATTTCCGGTCGACTTTTTGCAGATATAGCGAGAATTTTAGTAGAAATTTATTTCTTATTTACATGTATTTTTATATTGTTTTGGTTGACAAAGAAAACGCGATCTTTGAGTGAGTGAGTAAGTGAGTGAATATTAACGTCGCACTGATAAGCAACACGAGGGCTTTTGGCGACGGTCCGCGTAATTTTGGACCATGGTCAAGTGACGCGGACGACACCTGGCACGATCGTTGAAGGATGACGGTTAGGCAGCGTATTTAAATCCAGTGCAACTTGTCATTTCATTTTGAAAAATTATAATTAATGAATGAAAGTAATTTTGTTTTTGCATTCTTTCAATTGTATTCGAATATTTTATATTGTAGTCCAATCTCTATATTGGATCATAAGAAATAGGGCTAATGATCTAACAACAATCCATGCTTAATTGGATACAATTAAAGAATGAAATTTCTTTATTGTGCGGGAAGTGATCTTTGTCACGAAGATTTTTCATCAAAGAATCTTTTTTTCTTTTTTAATCATTCCAAAAAATATCGCAATAAATCGTTCTTTTCATAATCTTTCATAACTGGGTGGAAAAAATGGCAGAGTTTTATTCGAGCAAATATCTTACAAAATAATTTTGGTGTTAAGAAACGATTCCTTTGTGTCCTTTATGAAATCCAGAACAAACCCTTTTAAAAAAAACTATTAATTTTCTTCTCCAAACAAAATTCGAGAAAGATCTATCGATTTCTTTACATCTTCCACGCCCTCCAAAAAAAATTCACGGACATCTATTTTTTTCTCATAAATATCTTAAATCAAAGTGACAATTCAAGAAAGTGAAGAAATCGCAATGAATCAACAGATCGAACGTATAGGAAAAGAAAAGAAATTCAATAACTTAATTGCAATTTCTTCAGTTCAAGGCTGATTTTGCCTTCTGTCCTATATATTATTATGAGTTCTGCTAATAGCTAGGAAGGTAATCCTTTCAAAGCATTTAACAGTATTCCACAAGTAGGCTACCCTGCCCTTGATTGAACACAGCCACACCGGACGACCTTATTAGACCGTACCTGATTTAGTGTTCTTTCTATGGGTGAGGTCTGTCTGGTTTTCATGAAAGCAATTCGAAAGATTAACGTTGAAAGGGCGAATTGAGGCATAAAATATCTTAGATGGAAGATCATGCTGTGATGTAGGTTTTATTGTTGTTGAATGAAGAAGAAAAGAGAAATTTTATGACAAAAGCTTTATTTGATGTTCAGGTCATTTTTTCGGAATTTATGTTAAGCCGAAAAGATTTGAATGGATTGCTTGATGGTCTTTTATAAATAGTTATGAGTTCATTGCAACTATGGGATTTGTGTTGCTAAAAATATCTCTTGGGTTTTATCTAAGAGGTTATTAAGGAAACATTCGATACGTTATCGATCATTCGATAGTAAATGACGCAACCACGACTCTCAGCAGGATCAAGAAGCTCCACCCAACGACACACATTATTGTTATTCACACAGCGGGTGGTTTTACCTAAATAATGTCAACCGTGTAGTATTTGCTTCCATAATGATGAATACTCCTTAAATGTTTTAATTATCTCTTTGTCTCCATATGGAAAATAGTTCTAACAATAAATAATAAAAATAAATAAAATACACAATAAAGAAAAGTTCTTTAAATATTTTCTATTTATAAGATTCTTGAATCAAGTAATGTCAGTAATTTATTTCATTTTTTTCGTCGATACCCTAAATCATGTTTTAAAATCTATATTCCAGAATAAGGTTGTTCTAACTGCAATATAAATAAAGGGATAGCTGTTTGTCAATATTAGCCTAAAGGCCTACATTACGATAGCTTATTCTTCTTTATCGTAGGTTAATTGCCTCCCATTGAATGCCCTAATGCAAATCGAAAGCTATTATTTCTATCGTTTACGGACTGACATAATTGGTCTCCTTATTTAAAGGAATGTGATTTATAAAAAGTAATTGTGCTGTAATCCATCATACTGATAATATATTTCGGGAATAGGAGTATATGAAATGAAGAACATAAATATAGATCATATACCTACAGACGTCAGATTCTTAACCTTTCATATCAAATTCTCTAAAGAGCCCAAATATTTTAAATTGAAGAGTTCTTAGAATTAAGCTTTTTTTTTTTTTAACATTTGTCTGTTGGACATTAAATTCAATGTTAAACAAGTAATATAAAAAAAATTAGTCAATGCCTACTTAGGTCAACAAAGAAAAATTTTATTTTAGTTACTTTCTATTAAATAATTACAATTAATATACATGTGACATAATCATAATATTTAGAGGCAAAACACCTTTTAAATTAACATTAAAAACTTTTTAACCATATTAAATTTGTAATTACACTTTTTAATAAAAGTTAAGATAATAGGTAAGAATTTATCTTAAAACCAGTGTGAAAGGAATGCTGACGTCTAACTAGTATATGATTATCCACGTTAAGTTAAATCTGCACCCACAGATTTAACAAGAGCTATTTTATCGAACAGT